CCTTTGGCGAACTCAACGCATAACGCAGCGAACTTTTGGCGACCCAAGCGGAGTCGGCCCATGACGTACCAAAAGCGAACAATGTTCGCGAAATGTAACATTCGCGCTCTTCGGCGGACCGAAAGCGAACTCCACAGCGAACCGTGCGCGAACATCTGGCGAACACTTAAAAAGGTCGCGGCTTGTACGCGTGGAGTTCACCACGACGCACAGAAAACGATCTAAAGGCGAACAAATCTTTTTGCGTCGGGCACTTATGGTTATTCGTACTGTCAGTAGTATTTTAAACCAGGGATGTTGTATAGCTTCGCAGAACCACAGAAATCAAAGCTTTCCAACGAACTCGAACACTTAATCTTAACTCCTAAGAATACGGATGCAGTACTGAAAGTACTACACAACCGCAGAAAGATTTTAGAGCCCTTGCGTATAGGTGGTCGGACAGGCTTCCCATTAGGTATGTTTCGTGACGAGAACAAGCCAGTAAACTTCCCAAACCGGTTAATAAATGAAGTCGAATGTTAAAAGATGAGCTTAAGGCAGCCAAACACTACGAATGAGGTCAAAAAGCATGCAAACCAATCAAGAGAAGCGAATGTATCATTCTTCCCCAATTTAGAGGTGTCACATTTTCCCCCGACCTGACCCTAGTCAGAATGTACCCTCGCATGACGTATATTTTCAAGGTCGTTTTGTACTATTAAAAGACAGGTCGAGTGCGAAGATGAGCATTCTAGCTCAAAAGTTGGATTTAAAAAAATCAAAAACAGAAGGTCCCATAAATGACATTTACTCATATAAATTTTCCTGATTTTCTGGCGGTTAACTCTTGAAAATAGAGCCCTCTGCACGAAAATTTCGTCTGTTTTGCTCTAACTTAAACCGTTGAGGCACAAGAGAGTGTTTTTAATGAAAATAAGCGAAAAAAAATGTACAACCCTGCATGCTTAGTCGAGATGACTGGCCGTTGACGCGCCGTAGGCCCATATCTTTCAGTACATTTTTCCACTACCCGACTCGGGTGTCAGCGCCGAAGGACAAGGTAGATGTATGCCAAGTGCGTCGCAGCGTAACAGTGTTACGTGAGATAGGCCTATCGGGAAGTCTCTTACGCGAGACGTGGTCTAGCGTAACAGTGTTACGTGAGATATCGCGAAGCCCCTTACGCGAGACGTGGTCTGGCGTACATCTACCTTGTTACTACAGTAATATTACGAAAACTAGATGGAAAAGACAAACCAATTAAAATAATACTGATTATCACAGTAAAAATATTCACCAGAAAAATAAACAGACAAAAACAAGTAAATTGAAAAATTATCAGAAAATATTGAAGATATAAACAAAGTAACACAAAGTCCGCAAATACGTGCTAAACGGCATTGGATTGGTCCCGGATGTCGAGTTGGTGCCTTACCTGTCTCCACAATGTTGTTACTCTGCCAAAGGCTTGTTCAATTCTGACGCGTATTCACTGTCAGCAAGCTGCTAAGTATTAGCCAATGTGAACCTTCGAAACCCAATGCTCCTTGCTTTTCCCCCCGCTTTTAGTAGGAACGCAGTTTCCGGTGCTTCCTTGGATTTCCCACGTGTTTTTCGTTGAGATGCCCAAGCTCACAAACGTTGGAAAGGCACCCGGCGATAAGCTTGGAAAAGCTGGGTCAATCTGCTGGGCAACTGTAGGCGCCACAGTATGGAAGTATACCCGAGGGGTACCTCACTCCGCTAATAGGTGTACTCTGACTGGAGTCAACTGATTGGAGATTGATTGGAAATTGATTGGACTGATTGGAATATAGAAACTGATGGGAATAGAAAATGTCTGTGACTAGATGAAACGGAAAGAAATTCCAAAAATTCAATTTTGTGGGGTATGTGGGGTGCAAACTGAAGACATAATGTAAATAATAGTGTATGGAGACTTAAAATGGTGAAAACACCCAACAACATCCCTTTCACATATTTTTTATTTATGTGGCTTTTTGTGGTATTGTGCGTAAAAAAGTATGTTTATCCGCGTTTTATTTCATCTTCAATGAGGGGAAACGATTCAAAATGAGAGGAAATTCATGGAAAAATGCCAGTAAACATTTTGTTTTTAAACCAACTTGATTGATTCTTGCAAATGATTGGAGTGATTGGAAAATGACTGGTATGTGATGGGAAAATGATTAGTTTATAGACGGTACACTGATTGGATGAAGTGAGGCACCCCTCGGGACCGGGCTCTGGCTGCGGGCGGGGTGGCTGAGCTGACGTCTGACGTAGACGTGCACCACTACCTCTCCCAAGTCCAGTTATATCTTGGCGCGGGCACTAGCAGCGGCACCGGTTCACAGGGCGGCTCGGCAGTGGTCAATATCAGCTGGTTCATGTTCAGTTGTTCCTCCGGCAGTCACGGTGACAGCCTAGCCGTACTCAATGGCTGCACATACACCTCGAGATCCTGTTGATTCTGAGCGTGGCATCGTGCGGGCGAACCGCGGGGCGTGCACGGGCTCTGCTGGCCGACAGCCGACACGTGAACGCACGGCGTGCAGAGCCACCCTGAGGGTGGTAGTCCTCCCCGCGCGCCGCACCCGCAACGACCGCGAGGCCGACCGCCGAGTAGATACCCGCGGTCCCGGGAGCTGTAGGCTTAGCTGCCTAGCCCCACCTCGGCAGTAGTGCTCATGTTCTCCGTGGTAGATGCGGCGGTGTTGGCTGGACGCGGTGTGGTGGCACCTGTCCTGCTGGCCGCCGCTAGCTGGACGCAGCCGCAGCCGCACCTCACCCAGTTCATGTAGCACAAGTTCTTACAGGACTCAGTGCCACAACTCTTCTTACACTCATCCAGCCTACTCTCGAAGCAGCCCCGGCCCTGCCAGCACTCCAACCACCGCTCGCGCGAGCCCTCGTCCAGCCCGCCCGTCGGCAGCCCCGCGCAGGCGCAGCCGCAGTTCCAGCCGCACATCTGCCTGCACTTACTCCAGTCGCCGCCGCCGCCGCACTCGGTGCAGTTCCCCCAGAACGGCGGGGCGCACTGCAACAGGGTCAGTCAGTGACACGCAAAATATTGTGTTTGCTAAAACAGAAGTGGGCCTTCGTACACTGTTAAAAAAGTTCTGAAATTTCACATTGCAAACGTGGTTGGGAAATTTCATAACATTGTCAATTTTGCAATTAGTTATTAACATGCATAACGGTTTTCTGAAAATTCAAATCTGTCTTCCGAAAATTAGGAAACATTTGTAATTTTACAATTTGCGATTGTAAAATTGTGATCACTCTATCGGAAATGTGAGATCTGATTGTAATTTTCCGGTTGAAGTTTGTAATTTTGCGAAGTAAAACCAAATGAAACAGCACAAGTCCTCCATCACGACCCCTGAAAACTAAAAGGTCTCATCTCGGAGCGGCTGCGTATAAGGTCGTACCTCGGAGCGGTTGCGTATAGTGTCGGATCTCGCCAGCGTCCCAGAGAATGGTCGTAAGTCTATTTTTTGTCGATTTTGCGAGATGCATACAATTAGAATCGGGAGAAAATTCTCTTCCTAATGATATGCATCTGACGAAATCGTGAAAAAAAAAGACTTACGACCATTCTCTGGGACCCTAGCGAGATCCGACACTATACGCAACCGCTCCGAGGTACGACCTTATACGCAGCCGCTCCGAGGTACGACCTTTTAGTTTTCAGGGGTCGATCAGGTTTACTACAGTACAACGAACCTCCACACCTATAAGCCCTTTGTGACTATGGACTTTCATACGACGAAACAGCGACTGTACTTCAAAGAACTGCCGCCAGCTGGGGTGTGGTCAGCGCGTCTCTTCTTAAAGCAATTATTAGTATTTAACTAAAATTTGTACAAGAAAACCAACAATATTTGTAAAATTACAATCGAATTTTTAACAGTGTAATTTTAGCAAACTGTTTGCTGGAACAGCAAAAATTTAGCTGGAACGGCAAAAAAAAATCTGTTACCATAGCTGCTTACTTCCTTTTGCCGAATTTTTGATAGAGGGGCAAAGATCCAACTTCTGTTTCAGCAAACACACTATTTTGATTTGAGGCGCAGGTGGGGCGTGGTTGGGGCTGTGAGACTCACCAGCCGCTCGGTGAAACATTTGTCCCAATCCTCGAACTCCACGATGGCGCGGCCAGCGGCGGCCTCCGGCGGGCCGCACGGCCCGGGGTGGGCGGCGACGAGTCCTGGGGGCAAACGCGACTCCCTGTAGAGCAAGCCTCGCACTGGAGCTGCGCCTCCAGGCCAGACGGGCACTTACCGGGCAGGCGGGCGCACCGCAGCTCGCACTCGCTGGCGTAGGTACGGTTGTTACTGCCGCACACGGGGGAGTCCTCGGAGGAGGGCGGGCAGGGGCACAGCGCGGCCAGGGCGGCCGGCAGCAGCAGGGCGGCAAACATCGTGAACTGCATCGTCTTGAGGTCTCGGTTTTACTGCCGTGTCTCAGAGACACACCTCAGGCAGAGCGCTAGGCGGGGAGGTGTTGTCCCTCTGCCTCGTCGGTCACTTGTAGCTACCCACTGCCGTCTCGTCTGCGCATTTATACTTCCCCGATAAGGACGGTCACACCAGAAAGTAATCATTACAAAAGGAGAATCAGCGGCGGAACGGGTCAAAGGGCCATCGCGATGTCTTTGGGGCAAAGGCTGTCAGTCCTACGTAAAATTGGCGCACTTGTCGCGAACAACTGGTTTTCGAAAATGACAATGACTAGGCGACG